GGTAAGAGTCATCTTCAGCTAAGACAGTTTTATTTTTCTAACAGGGTGGTTGGTCTTTGGATGGGTTGCCTTCCAATGTTGCAGAGGCAGTAAATTTAAGTGAGTTTAAGAAGAAGCTTGATAAATATATGAATGATAATGGCTGGCATTAAAATTTTTTAAAATTATTTTAATTTAGTTCAGAGGACGGAACAGCCGAGATGGACCAAACAAAACAATTATATTAGATGAAAAGTATATTTAAAAAAGTGTTTATATTAAATACAAAATAAAATAAAGATTTAGAAAGCAAACAAGAAACTCTCTTCCTCTTTGTTGAATTTGTCCTGGATTTTTATTGAAAGTGGCCCTCAAATTCTTAACTTTCTTATTAATGAGAGAAAGAATAAAAATATGTTGTAAATCTTTATTTTCTGTTGTAAATATAAAAGGTCTTGCTTGATTGTGGTTACCTGATATCTGCAAAAATGAGTTTCGTGGATTTAGGGAAGGGATGTGCTGTGAGTAGGCTTAAAGATACAAGATATGACGGTGTTCAAGTCTGAACAAAAACAGAATACTAGTCTCTGAAGAAAACCAAAGGACGGCCAATTGTTAAGGTGGAGTAAGAGAAAAAATAAACAGTACTTAAAGATTAACTAAACTCACATGATCGACAAAATATGAAGACACGGAAAACTTTACTGGCAAACGTTCTCTTACTCAGGGCTTTTTATACTTTTAACTTAAGGAACATTTTCTGAAAAAAAATAAAATTGTATGTAAATACTTTTAAAAGTATGAATTTAACAAAAGACATTTAAGAAAATATTTAATGAATTAATGTTTAAATGAATAGAATTGATTATGGAATTAACAGTTATGTAAAAATCTTAGTGTACAGTACAAGCTCAATCATGTACGAAACAGCTTCATCAATAATTTCACATTTATCTGTAAAATTTTCTCATGTTCTCCCAAAGACAAGATAACATTCCATCCATCAACTCCTAAGGTTTTGCACATTGTTTCACAGTTCATCACCGTGTTCATGCTTGTCCTCAAGCTTTTCTTCGTCAGAATTTATCATCATGTGGTAATAGAAATTAACTACCTGCTCGTAATTGTTAATACTTATTCTTTCATTGTTTCCATGGATAAGGCTTAAATCTTTAGGAAGGATATTAATAGGGCTGAAACGGTAGATGACCTTGGACAAAGACAGGTACCACCTGGTGTCTGTGTTTGCTATAAGCATGGCTGAAATAAGATCAGATCAAAAGTTACAACTTGAAATTTTAAATAACCTACTGCATTCTGTGTTACTGATAAAAGTAATTAGTGTTAATTATTTTAGTTAAGGGACTCTTTAATTCTTATTAAAACATTGAATTTTTGTTTAATGGGCTGCAAGATAATATTTGTGCAAAATTACAAAATACTTTGAGAGATTTAACATCCAAGTGATAACACTTATGTTTAAGCAGCTGATACTTTGAGAGATTTAACATTCAAGTGATAACACTTATGTTTAAGCAGCTGATACTTTGAGAGATTTAACATTTAAGTGATAACACTTATGTTTAAGCAGCTAATACTTTGAGAGATTTAACATTCAAGTGATAACACTTATGTTTAAGCAGCTAATAC